GATGGGGTGTTATTGGGTGAACTTATGGCTTTGAGGAGACTAAAGAGACAGGTTGGTTTTGATCGTTAATTCTGCAGATACAGTACTGAATTATCAACGTATAAGCAAAAAACAATTATTGAAAATCCAAAAGAAACAGAGTAGTATTATGTGGTTTGTATTCTGGAAAGATACTATTTTAGGGTATGAATGAATCTTAGGAACTCTGTCCACATCCCCTCAGCCCACTCCAGAAGTCACCTTCCGAGAGTTTTTTTTTTGTGTGCTAAGGGATCCCCATGTCTTCTACCTAAAGATGTCTCTTGCCACAGAATTCTTTTCGGCTTACTTCTAAAAAGCAGGCCAGAGAATCTAATTAATACTCTCAAAAACATCCACCAACCAATGCAGGGTAAAAATACCCCAGCTTCCTTTGCGCCCCAGTGGGACAGCTTGGAAGCTGTTATACACTGTATTTCAGAGGGCCCCAGTGGGATTTAGCCCCAGTTCACCACAGTGGTAAACCATAGGTACACACTTAGTTGGCTGTTCTTTCCTGTCTTTTTCTCATTCCCTTATCAGATAATGCTTTCTGGGATTATCTTCCAAATCAATTGCGTAGGCCCAAACCTTTGTCTCCATGTCTGCTGTTAGACAAATCTAAACTAAATAAAATGTTCTGTTTCTGTATGCCCTAGTAGAAGGAAATCTTGAAGAGTTTGGTGAAGGTATCTTTGTGTCATATGTATACATGTTAACAGGTACGAAAAACTCACCAAAATGTGTTTATTTAAAATAAAGGAGTTCTGGGCTGGGTGTGGTATCTCACACCTATAATCCCAGCACTTTGGGAGGGTAGGCTGAGAGGATAATTTGAGCCCAAGAATTTGAGACCAGCCTTGCCAACATGGCGAAACTCTGTCTCTACAAAAAGTACAGAAATTGGCCAAGCATGGTGGCCTATGCTGGAGGTCCCAGCTACACAGCAGGCTGAGGATCACTTGAGCCCAGGAGGTAGAGGCTGCCGCGAGCTGTGACTGCACCACCACACTCCAGCCTGGGACACAGAGTGAGACCCTGTCTCAAAACAGAAATGAAAACAGAAAACAATTCTTTCATTTTGGAAGTTTATACTTATTTACTTATGGATAAAACCAGCAGCAAATACATGTTTATATATTCATACAAGGAGACACGACACTTTGGCAATAATGAGTTAATTTCAGACATATGCAATACATAATTATGTGAAGTGAAATAAGTCAGGCACAGAAAGATAAATATATTCTCACTCATATATGGGAGCTAAAATAATTAGGTTCATAGAAGCAGAGAGTAAAATTGTGGTTATTAGGGGCTTGGAAGGGGAAGGGAAAGGGGAGGATAAGAAAAGGTTGGTCGATAGATATGAAGTTACAGGGAGATGGGAGGAAGAAGTTTTAGTGTTCTATAGCACTATATGGTAAATACAGTTAATGATAATTTACCATGTACTTTCAAAAACTAGAGAGGCTTTTGAATATTCACAACACAAAGAAATGATAAATGTTTGAGGTGGTGGATATGCTAATTACCCTGATTTGATCATTATACGCTGTGTACACATATTGAAATATTACTCTGTGTCCCATATATGTGCAGTTATTATATGTCAACTAAAAATAAAAGGGGAGGAAATTGAAATACATATGTAATATTTAAGTGAAAAAAAGCCAATTTCAGTAGAATTATATTAATAAAAGCTCAAAGCTCTGCAACGAAGCGTTACCAACATAGGTGTTTAGGGACACAAACATAGCAGGGAAAATGTAAATAACAACAGGGGAATAATAAACACAAAACTCAGGAGAGTGATAACTTCTAGTGAAAAAAAGGTGTGCGATCAGGCTGAGGTCTACAGGGAACTTCCAAGGTATTAGCATTACCCTTTTCCTTAAACTAGGTAATGGGATACACATGCTCATTGTATCATTGTATCTCTGATCCTCATATTTCACATGCTTTTCATGAATATTAGTTTCTTAATGTTTAATAGTTAATAAAAACATTTTTTAAAACAGACATCTAACAGGACAATAAAGAATGGCCTCTTGATGGTATCATTACTATAGGTTATTAGTGAAACAATAATTAAAATAATATTTTTAAACAAAACATAAAATAAAGGAATGATATGTAGTAGGCTCACCAATGTAGCACTCCAACAATAACAGGTATTGTTGCCCCTCTTATCCTAAGTGAATTAGTGCAACATATGATGTAATAATGCTATTCTCTTAGCTTGACTAATTATTTTTCCGAAGGTGGAGTCAGTATCCTTGACCAAAGTAACTGCAAATTGAGTGACTGAAAACATTATTTTGGACTGGTTATTCATTCATTTCAATCAATTTGATTTAGAACAAACCAGCAAGGACCCGGAGAGAGCAGAGAATAAATAGAACAGGTCCCAAATCCTGTGAATGCTCCTTTGAAAACTCCTCTTCACAGTCATCCCCTGCCATGTCAGTGGCCATCACCTTAGCTTTACTTTTGGTGTCCACATCATAGGTTTCCATTTAGGATGCCCCCATCATAGTTTTGCACTCTTGGGACTGCAGGAAAAACAAAACACCTAAGTGAAATTCAGAACAGGCATCAGTTTTGTAAAAAAAAAAAAAAAATTAGCAGGGAGAAAAAAAAAAAAAAAACTGGGGAAAAAGAAAAACGAAAAAAAAAAAAAAAAAAAAAAAAATGGGGATGGAGAACAAAGTAGCCTTTAAAGAAACTAGAATTCACTTGGCATCAGGTCTTGATTGTCTCTCTTAGGCCATGCTTCAAGCCATTGTCTCAGGAAAGGCTGTGCTGGAGCCTGTTCTGCTCAAAACATCCTCTGATCCTCTGCTTCAATGTTCTTGTTCTTCTCTGGCCTCACTGGTCTTGACACTTGATTTTTTGTCTTGCTTTGCCCTGTGGATTAAATACTCTTCTGGATGGTCTACCTGGTTTGAGGTTTTTCCTTTGACACTTTTTCTCAAGTTCTTCTTACACTACCTCTTAGATTATAGAATACAGAAAAGTCTCATCTCACCCTCATACCCAACATGGGCCTGCACACCTCCAGGCTGGGACTGACTTTCTAGGCTCATGCTTATGTGGAAAGAGAACTCGGACACTACCCAGAGACCTAAGAACAGCATCTCAGAACTGCTGGGACGAGCAGAGAGGTCAACTTGTTTAAAGAGGTAAGGATATAGTTTTTTTTTTGTTCAAGGCATTAAATCCAATGAACAAAGAACTGAGCTGGAGAAGAACCCTGCAAACAGAAGGCATCGTAAATTTTATTTTTCCTGAAGAGGTATTTAGTCACAAACAGCAAAGAGTTAAGAGATACCTACCCAAATAATTATCTCTCACCACCCTCCCCCCACATACAAAGACTGAAAAGTATGTTGCCACTCCTTGGAAAAGACTCCTCAGCCATTCTTAATCTGGAAAAAACAAACAACAAAACATTTTCAATCTTCAGCACCTTTTCTGTAAGGTCCTTTCTTCAGGTGAGAAAAAGTACTCCAGATTTTCTGCTGTATTGTATTTCTTAGTTGTATGTCGTTTGTTTTCTCCATCAGACTGACTTCTATGCAGCTGGGGTCATATCTTTTTCATTTTGGATTCCTCAGCCTTGCACAGAGTTATTCATCAAACAACATCTGAATGAGTGAAAATTTGGAAAGGAATCAGGTCCCATCTTTTATCTTTACAAATTCATCTGTTTTTACTGACTGTGCAGCTTTGACCAGTACACTGATGCGTGGGAAGAGATCTTCAGAGTGGGCTAAAAGAGGCTTGAGAAGGGCTTGCGATTTGGAATAAATCTGAAATAATTTGAGATGTTTTTCTAGCTTCCCTTTGAGGCTCTTGTTTGCCGGAAAACAACAGGAAACAGCACTGAAAGGTTTTTAGGAGCTTGAGTAGTGAGCAGGCAAAAGTTTGTCTCCTTTCTAGGAGCTGCGCAGGCTCACCCACTGGCTGGAGGCATTGACACAGTGTTGCTGGTCTGTTCTGGCTGTTTCTTGACTGCTCTCCGATTCTAAGAAGTGCAGGTGGAGAAAAAGCACTGGTCTCTGCTTCTGTTGTCTCTCCTCTTCCACCATCCTCTTTACAGCCCTTTTGGAGCAAACTTCGCAGCAACATATTTCCCCACTGTGACAGGTTTCTCAGTGAATGCAGTTATGAAAACCATAAACTCACTGGATTGAAACAGCACATTTCTCATTCTTAGCAATTTGCAGCTAAAAAATAAAGAAATATAAGAAGGGAGACCCCTTTTAGTCAATGGAGAAGCCAAAGATACCAAACAGCAACATCTTGGACCCAGCATTGCCTCTTGATTGTACTAAGCAAGACAAAGTCAGACTTTCTCTTTTTTTTTTTTTTTAAGACTGAGTGTTGCTCAGCCACCCAGGCTGGAGTGCAGTGGCACAATCTCGGCTTACTGCAAATACCGTCTCCCAGGTTCAAGTGATTCTCCCATCTCAGCCTCCTGAGTAGCTGGGATTACAGGCACTCGCCATCATACCAAGCTGATTTTTTTATTTTAGTCGACACAGAGTTTCACCATGTTGGCCAGGCTGGTCTTGAACTCCTGACCTCAGGTGATCTGCTCTTCTCAACCTCCCAAAGTGTTAGGATTACAGGCATGAGCCACCGTGCATGACCCAAAGTCAGACTTTCTTTTTTTTTCTTTTCTTTTGACAGTTTTTATATTGTGACAAAGTCAGACTTTCTAATGTAGAATCACAGCACAGCTGCCCCTGCTTGGATTCCCCTACCTATTGTCACACCTCATTCACATGCTGCACCTTCACAGCCAGGGCCTGTTTCTACGTCTAGGCCCTGCGGCCAGGGTTTGGAAGTGATACAGCACATCAGTACCTCTGCTTTATCCATAAGAGATTGCCTTACGTCCCAGTCAGGAGGCTTCCTCTTTATATAAGTAACAGGATGCTATTTAAATCAATATGGATGAGCCAACAAAAAAACCCACTTTTTTTCTTTTATTTTTTTTTGAGAGAATGATTTTTTAAATTGAGGTTAAAAAATACGTAACAAAAAATGAACTATTTTAAAGTGAACAAATCAGTGGCATTTTGTACATTCACATTCACATTGTCCATAGCATGTTCACAGAGTTGTACAATCATCACCTCTACCTAGCTCCAAAACGTTTTCATCACCCCACAATCAAACTAAAAAAAAAGATGAATCTCCTGTTTTAAGGGATTTACCTGCCCTGGATATTTAATAGGGATGGAATCATGTAATATATGACCTATTGCGTCTGGCTGTTTTTCACTGAGCGTTAGCCTTTCAAGTTCATCCACACTGTAGGAGGCATTCCTCATTTCTTTTTGACTGAATAACATTTTTTTTAACAACTTGTAGACCAATAAAAATGAGGGCTTATCCAATGCAGGCATTAGAGGATATAGTCACTGCAGTCAAAATGAAGACATGTCAGGGCATGAGGGAAATGAAGAGGAGGAGGAGATGTGGGAGAATGAAGAAAGTAAAGATTGAGAAGCAGAAGCTCCAGGCTGTTCTGCTTACTGAGGAGAGTTTCTTTCTCTCAATCTTTCTCTCTCTCTTTCTCTCTGTCTCTCCCCTTCTCTGTATGATTTCCTCAACAGAGCACAGGTTCCAGAGTCACAAAACCAGCTCTAGAGTCCTCATTCTGCCATCATTCACTCCTTACATGTCCTTGGACAAGTTACTTTGAATCTGAGTCCCAACATTGTAAAACAGAAATAATAATACCTGCATCCTCAATTGAAAAATATTTGTGAGAACCAAATAAAAATAGTTATAAGCTATGAATTGTGGTTGAAGTGCCAGTTAGTTATTTCTCTCTGCAACTGCTCAGGAAGAAAGCCCAGCTGATGGAGGACCTTCCTTAGTGATGATTTCACCTCCTTATTCCTGAGACTGTAGATTAAAGGGTTCAGCATGGGGGTGACCAAGTTGTTCAGTATCTGAACAGTTGCATCCAACCAGGGGCTTGGGGTCGGTCTCAGGTAAATAAGGACCACTGGCATGTAAAAAAGCAGGATGGCAGTGAGGTGGGCACTGCAGGTAGAGAATGCATGGTGTCGGCCCTCAGCAGAGCGGATCTGCAGGATGGAGCAGATGATGCGGCTGTAGGAGGTGAGAATGAGAAGGAAACAGCTGAGGGGCATGAGGCCCACACTGATGAACCCCACCATCTCCAGGGCTGACGTATCTGCACAAGCCAGTTTCAGCATGACTGGGATATCACAGAAATAATACTCCACCTTATTGGGGCCACAGTAAGGCAATTGAAAGGTGAGAGTGGTTAGAAAGGTGGCCTGAATGCAGCCGAAGAATGAGGTCCCCATGGCTAGGATGACGCAGGCTCTGGGGCTCATGATTATGGTGTAGCGTAGAGGGTGACAAATGGCAACAAAGCGGTCGTAGGCCATCACCGTGTACAGGAAACACTCAGTGCAGCCCAGGAAATGGTAGAAGAAGAGCTGGGATGCGCAGCCTGCATAGGAGATGGCTCGGCTATTTCCTGAAAGATAGCACAGCATCTTAGGGGAACTCACAGAAGGGAAAAATATGTCAAATATAGACAACTTGCACAGGAAGAAGTACATGGGTGTGTGAAGCTGAGCGGAGGAGAGAATAGCCAGCAGGATGAGCAGGTTCCCCATGAGGGTGAAGATGTAGAAGGACAAAAACAGGACCAAGAGCATAGTCTCCAGACCCTCCGTGTGTGGGATGCCCAGCAGGATGAATTCAGTCACCACCGAGAGATTCCTCATGGCTGTGAAAACATCCAACCTTGAAACGGTACCCAAGACACACACCAGAGTCTAAATACCAATGTCAAGTTCTCAAGCTTTTTGCTGATGAGTGCTTTGACTATGTTTTTAACAAAGAACAACTTGCATTCTTATGAAGGGCAAGAGTGAGATCTATGTAAAAAAAAGAAAATCAGGTAATAAAGAAATGGCTGTTTTAGGGTCAGTCTATTCAACTCATGGAAAGAATGCTTTGTAAAGGCAGATGTTTTTCTTTTACAGGATAAGAAGTTTAGAAACATATTTAAACGACTTCAACTTAAGTTAGAAACCTAAGTACTGTGGATTTATTCTTTTTGAGCATATTTACTATTTGAACTCTTGTGATGTCTTTACATAACAGACTTCCACTATTCATTGACCTCTGCAACATAACAAAAAAAAGAATTATTTTAAAGACCAGAAAACTTAATATGGATCCTGACCTTTCCATTTATTAGCTATACTCGTTAAAACAATTTACACCATGTCTTTAACAGGCTTAGTTTCATCATTTACCAAATGGAAATCATTATAGCAACATCCGTAACACAGGTATCCTAGTAGTAAAGTGTATGAAGTATCTGCTAAAATGTCTTGCAAAACTATGAGTCCCAGTGAAAAATTGTTTTCTTTCTTTCATAAGTTATTGGGGTACAAGTGGTATTTAGTTACATGAGTAAGCTCTTTAGTGGTGATTTGGGAGATTTTGGTGTACCCATGGCCTGTGCAGTATACACTGCACTGTATTTGTAGTCTTTTACCCATTGCCCTCCTCTCATTCTTCCCCACAAGTCCCCAAAGTCCATTGTATCATTCTTATGCCTTTGTGTTCTCATAGCTTAGCGCCCTTTGTTTTATACATTTTAAACTTAGTTCTTTAAGTACCTTACTTTAATGTTGTTATTCTGTAATTATTTGCAAAAAAATTATTGTGTTAAATAACATTGTTTAATAGATTTAAGATTACATCCTCTTCAGATTACATCTTTCTAGACTTGAAAGTTTGAAGAGCCCCAGCTCTATCAAGAGATGCTGGTGTGGTTCTGTAGTTCTTATAGTCTTTTCTAAGTTGACCTAAGATGACTGAAATATTGAGAAACAGTATCAGCATGGAAAATATCCAATTTCCTTGTTACTATAATAAAGTAAGAAATACAGTGATTCATGTAAAGGAAGGCAAAGAACAGCACTAACCAGGTAGGCTATATAAGTCAGGAGCAAGGTATAGCACCTGAAACATACAGAGATCTCTCATTATTCACTTAGTAATAATAAGGATGGTACATACACACACACACACACACACACACACACACACACACACACACACACACACCATTTAGTGAATACTTACTGCATTCCAAGACAGGCTCAGCATTTTAAAATTTATTATTTATTTAAAAAATATACCTATGAAAATATTACTATTATTATTACAGTTCTCATTTATAGATAGGAAAGTGAAGCTTAGAAAAATTAAGCAAGTTGCTCAAGGTTAAAAAGCTAGTATGTGACACATTGGTTTTGTGCCATTTCCTGTGCCCTAAGTCATTAGGAAAATGTGCCCTCTGTTTGCCTTTTCTTTCTAAAACAGCTTGCTCCATTGCTCAGCAGTGACACTCTTTCCAGATGCATTCACATCATTGCTTTATATTAAGGTAGGAAAAGACCTCATGTCCTATTTCTTCCTAGTCATTTCCAGTCTCGACTTCAGAGTCCTTTTGCGAAATATCTCACATAGTTTCAGAGGTCATACAACAGGTGTTTTCTATCCCTTTAACACCAGACCTTAGTATCAGCTTTAATTCGGAAGCTTTAAATTTGCAGAGCCACATTCATCATGGGGATTCCAATCATAAGCTGTGGAAAGTGTCATGGAAAAGCATCTCTAAAGAGAACGACTAACTCAGAATTCATCACCCACGTTACCCAAGAATTGGGCAAAAGTAAAGACAATAGAGAAACAGTGATGTTCTGGGGAAGAAATGCTTCTGACAATCTGCCCCTTGTTGCTAATTCTAGCCACACCTGAATAGTCTCTCTGAGTAACTCAAATTGCTGTGAGCATTCATCTTCTTGGTCAGCAAAGGCAAGAGGGAGAGAATCTGGTTCTTGCCTATGATCACACACCATGATATCCTGTGATTCCATAACTTGATTTTTAATTCCATTTCAGGAAGAAGTCACCAAAGACCAGGAAGTTCTCCATTAGTATGTGAGGGGAAGAGGCTAACAGTGAGACATAGGTAGAAGGTTGAATACTCACACAGTCCACCTGAGAACATAGTCAAGTTTTCCAAGTGTTATGACAAGATCTCACATTTAATTTTTCTCAGCAGAGCACAGTGTGCTACAGCTAAAGGAGCCTTAATTCTCCATTTATAAAGAATCAAATCTCATAGGGTTTGTACAATCAAGACCTGTACACACTCACTGTCTCTGGATTGCTTTCTTGGAAGTTCTTTTCAGATCCCCTGAAGGCTTACTTGGGACTCAGTGATAGCTCTGAGGGAGCAATTAGTTTGTCAATGATATTCACCCAATCATGAGATAACAGTAATGATATCATTGGAAAGGGATGCTCTAAAGTGGGAAATATGTTCTTCCAAAGCTGTTTACATAATAGAAAGCCTCCAGTTTTAACATTAAATTACTTTCAATGTTATCCCTGTGTTTGGGTGTTTTTACACCTTCAAGGCTGCTCCAATTCAGCTCAATATTATAAGCTCACGGTCTCATGATAGCTCATGTTATCATTTGTCTCATCACTTTTGACATTATCTGTGCATGCATGTGACTATATGGCTATCTCTAATAAACATCATTATTCTAGACATAAGCCTAATCAGTAATTATTCATTATGAGTTTACTATCATGATGTATCTCCAGGACATTACGCCTACAGAAAAATAGTCTCATATACTGGACACATTGCTGGGAAGATGACCAGTATAAATAAAGGAGCTATAAACCATCTCAAAAGAAAAATAATCAACTAAAATGCTATTATTGAATTAATAATCCATTGTAAGCACTTACCATACACTGTCACGCTAATTTGTTTAATTCATTGTTACATTTAATCTCCAAATGAAACCTTATGAAGTAGATGATATTAGTTGACAAATAAACTGAAAAACAGATTAAATAATTTAGAGATTACACAACTAGAAGGTAAATGAGCTGAGACTCTAATTTCAAAGTGAATTCTTTTAAGCAGTAGGCTATACTGAATTACAGTGATTTGAGTTTTGCTCCAAAAGAAGAGAAATAGAGACATAATGTGGTCTTCAAATGCTTGCAAGGCTGGTGGGTAGGCTTGATATGAGCTGTTTTACACAGACTCAAGAATCATGGGCAAATGTAATAGAAAGATAGACTTATTTTCAATGTAGAAAGAAATTGTTTAATTATTAGAAAACGTATATCAATGAAATAAGCAACCTTATGATGTAATGATCTCATCTCTGGAAGTATTCAAGAAGAGGTAAAAGGAACCATCTTTGAGGTATGCCATTAAGGATATTCTCAATAACATAAAGTCAAAAAAAAGTTTTTTCTTAGTATAAAATTATTTGATTTTATTTCCACCCTAAAAATGTTCAATGATACTGACCTAACCCAATAAAAGTGGAGCTTAAAATTAATGATGATAATGCAACTAATGCCTAAAGCAAAAGCAATTATGAAAATGTCCATAGTAGCAACAAAAGTAGTTACAAAGGTTACAAAACTATTAACCACTATAATACCAAAGCTGTTGCTGAGGCATTTTTAAAAGAGGAGAACAGCAGCTTATGGAGGAAGTACAGATACTGCTCAGACAGGGTCTCAGAGGATGAAAGCAGCTTGTTGGGGTGTCTTAGTCAAAATTCATCCAAGCTTTAATAATAGCTGACATTTTCTGTGGATGTGTTACATACTGGAATTGTGATGAGGGATCTGTGTTTAATATCGTTCAATGTTTATCAAAAATTTATGTCTATCTATTTTTTATTAATCTCAAAGAATTTTAGCAACATAACTAAGGTAACAGAGTTGGTTAGTGGTAGAGCTGTCTCTCAAATCCAGAATAATATGACTTCTCCCTTTGTGTTATAAAGACAAATAAGTTTATTACTAATTTTGATTTTCATATACTCATTAATAATTAACATTTGTAGTTGTTCTATTTTTCCAATACACTTTTATGTATCTTTGATTAATTCTTAAGAGCTGTGTAAGGTGGTTTTTCTTAACTCTGCTTTACAAATAAGTGCATTAAATCTCAGAGCAATTTTGGCTTTTCTAAAATTAGACAGTAGAAGAGCCCAGGCATTCCCAGGTTTAGCTCTCTTTCCACTACATCATCACTGCTTCCCAAAATGACTCCATACAGAAAGCAGTTGTCTCTGGATAAGAGAAAAATTATTAATAGATTCATTTGGATATTTAGATAAGTCTTCTGTATAACCTTACAGTTGTTACTGTTTTTACCATGGATTCCCTGACAAGATAATGGTATGAAAATATAATGAGATAGGCCGGGTGTGGTGGCTCACACCTGTAATCCCAGCACTTTGGGAGGCCAAAGTGGGTGAGTCATTTGAGGCCAGGAGTTTGAGACCAGCCTGGCCAACATGGCAAAACCCCATCTCTACTAAAAATACAAAAATTAGCAGGGCATGGTGGCACGTGCCTGTAATGCCAGCTACTCGGAGGCTGAGGTGGGAAAATTGCTTAAACTAGAAAGGCGGAGGTTGCAGGGAGACAAATCATGTCACTGCACTCCAGCCTGGATGACAGAGCGAGACTCAATCTCTAAAAATAATAATAATGATGAGATAAAGCATCAGAGAGAGAGAGAGAGAGAGAAATTTATTTAGCTCATGTTCTGTTCCCTAGGGAAAAAGTCTCACTAGAAAGTTTACTACATATTTCTCAGAAGAGGTCTCTTGCCATGGTATGACTTGTGGGGAAATTTGCATCATCTTTCTTTTAATCTGCTTAATTTATTCCTTTTTTTCCTACTCCAGCTATTCAAGTAAGTCACTAACATATTCTAGCAACAACAGATTCCTCAACTAGTCCTTCAGCAAAACTTTCTGTTTATAAATAGCAAGCTTAAGTCTAGGCATTCTTGATCCAATGGCAGGTGCTTTGTTGTTTCTTGGCAGGATAAGGGTCTACAGTGAATTGTCAATCATGTTTCTTCCTTTATCTGTGATAACCCAGTAAAGAAGAATTAGGTTGTAAGCTCAAAAACGGAAAAGTGCATAAAGATGGCTATTTACTGGGTGACACATTTCTGAAGCTGCTATTTCCTTTTCTTCCTTTTGTTCTTTCCTTCCTCTCATTTTATTTTTCCTGATAGAAAATTTCTTGGCATTTAAAAAATTTGATGGTTTCTCTCTCTTTTTTTTTAAAGATGGGGTTTCACCATGATGGCCAGGCTGGTCTTGAACTCCTGACCTAAG